CATGAGCCACACTTTTTAGTCAACATTATAAAAAGCTCATCTGTTAATTTATTTCTTTCAATGACTTGCTTGCTCTCAATCTACAAAATGCTACTTAAACAAAATGAATTGATGTAAATGTTTCTTTGATGTTATACTGAGCCTGATAAGTATTATTTTGAGTTTCTTTCAGTGTGTGGAACCTAAGGTTGTAAACACCAATCCTCTAGATTTAGAAGATATAAGAGGAAGCTTATTTAGCTCTTAGTAAAGACTAACATATCTTTCAATGAAAGGATAGTTTCTGTTGTTCTCCGAAATCTCATAGGGAATATTCTGTTGTAAAAATCCTTAATCTGAATTCCATTGTAACAATTTAATATCGAAATAGTTGCTTTTTCTTGAGAAAAGTATTATAGTGTCATGGTTCCGATAGATGAGACCAGTAGAAAGAACTCCAAGGCAAAAAAAGTTTCCTTAAACAAATATTTATTTGGCTACATAGTATTGGCAGGATCAAAGGTGAACCCAAGACTGATTTTTTCCCCAAAGGTTACAATGTTACAAAGTTCAACTTCTCACCCCCAGTAATGTGTCATAAATCACAATCTACAATTAACTACTTGCGCAGGCTTTCTAAGGGAAGCTTTAGCCCGCCAAAATGCAACTAGCAATGACCTTGGTTTCCACAGAACAATTTATTGTTTTGACTAAGCTAAAAAACACTCATTCCCCCTCCCAATTCTGTGGCAACCGAAAACAAAGGGAAAATGGCTTCAGCCAAATTTGTTTGTAGAGTTGACATATAGCAGTGAGGTAGAGGGATAAGTAATCTTGCATAATATAACTACTATTTTGAATGTACACCCATTTGGCTTCAAATGATTGTATTTTCTGCCAAGGAATGCAGGGCTGTTGTTTTCTTGACTCTCTTAGTAGACGTTAATTCCATTGATCATGATGTCCTTTTGAATGATTGAAATTGCAATGACTTCAGACCTTTATGATGGTTAAACTGACATAATGATGTTGGCAGCTTCTAGTCTACTTCATGGATTTTTAGGTGCCACAAATTTAATCATCTCACTGTTTTTCAGTTTTTCTGTGAAGATATAGAAAACAATCATTTGAAGACTTAGATGACACATTTGTTAATGATAGACTGAGGAATTTCTGAAGTATGATCTAAAAGCCTGTTTGGGGTTGGGGAAAAATGAGAGTTAACATATGGAAAATATATAAGAAATAGAAAACAGCTAATGTAGATAGAGGTGTTGAGCCATTTTGGGTTGAACTTGCATAACTTGCATAGTAAACAGTTTACCACTTGAGTACAGTCCCACATTTGTTTCTACTTCTAGGAACCCTGATTAGTATAGATTCACATATTCACTTTGTGTTCACACTGAACTTTGACATGCTGATTGTTATTAGTCTGACATAGCTGTACTATTGCTTTGCTGGTTAATTACCCACTTCCAAACCAAACATACCACTTTACCACTTGAATACAGTCCCACGTTTGTTTCTACTTCTAGGAACCCTGATTAGTATAGAGTCACGTATTCATTTTGTGTTCACACTGAACTTTGACGTTATGCTGGTTGTTATTAGTCTGACATACCTGTACTATTGCTGTGCTGGTTAATTACCTACTCCCAAACCAAACTTAAAATTTTACCTATAATATTTTCCAAAATACATGTTTTTTTAAAAAAGTGAAAAAATACAACAGAAAAAGGGAAAAATGAAACAAAAGTATAATGTAACAATTAACAGTTACAGTTCTACCAGAATATATAATTATCTAATATAAATATTATTCAAGTACATATATATTTATTTCTAGTATACTTACATAACTTATTCTTTATTAACCTTCTGTATTTTGTATAAATGAGTTCCATATTTCCTTATACTTGTCCCTACAAAGTCTGTGGTTATAGGCAATCTACTCGTAGGTAGCAAGTGAGTGAAAGGGGCCATACATTTTTCTTTCTAATGCTGCAGAATCAGTCTTTTGGCAATAGTAAGATCATTGAAAATCTATTTGTGTTGTCCAGTTGTCAAATTCCATGCAGTAGGTATGTAATTCAACATTTTAGCTTTTGCTGCCCAATCATATTTATATAGTCCACCATTTTCTCCCAAAATATAGTCGATGTTGGACATTGTAAAAATATGTATTTTAAAGAAGCATTATCATTATTTCTCCAACAAAATGGTATCTCTTTTTTGAGAATGTATATATTTGCATAAAATTTATTTTAATGTTTTGTTCCTTTTCTGTTATTTTAAAAGCAATAAAATGTAAATATATATTAAAAATTACTTATAATATTACTGTATCCATAGACTCAGCAGTTTTCAGTAACTATCGACCAAGTCTTCGAATTTCCCTATTTGGGGAAGGTTTTTGAAAAGGTGATAGATAACTTAGGTCCTAGGTTATATTCCAGATGTGTTTCAGCCAGGTTTCAAGCTGGGATTTATTACTAAGATAGCTTTGGTCGTGCTTGTTGATTGGTGAACAATGGGACATCCTATCAGTGGCTGGAAAGGGCCGCCCACTGATCCTAGCAGCACAAGAACAGGCACTAGGCATCAGATGCATAGAAGCAAAGGTTTACCACACTAGATAAGACCTGAGGCCCAGACTATGCAAAGAGGCCTCAAAGAATTCCAACATATAGTTACAGAGGATAAGTTACAGGCAGGAACACCATACATTGAACGGCACTACCAAGTAGTTGTCATTGTATACAAGAACATCCCCACAGTATAGGGGCTAGATCTTCAAACTTTGCCCGCTGACTGAGGAATTCTGGGAGTTGAAGTCCACAAGTCATAAAAGGGCCAAGTTTGAAGACCCCTATGCTAGATACTTCTAAATCCAGATGGGAAATTCTGCACAAGGTTGTGGAGAATAACAGGGCTAAGATCCTGTGGGACTTTTAGATCCAGATGGACAGGCAGATACTGTTTAATCAACTGGGACATTATGGTAGACTAAGGACCAGAAGACAGCAGTAGTGATACTGTGTTTCCCCGAAAATAAGACTCAGGTTTATTTATTTTTTGCCTCCAAAACAGGCACCAGGTCTTATGAGGGGGTGTCTTTTCCACGCACCTCCAACAGCAATGCCCAGCCGGCCTGCATTTCACAGTCAAAGGCCTTTCTGGAAGGCCACTGCAGCAGAGAACCAATCTATGGATTTATCCATAGCTCAGTTCTCGGCTGCAGAGGCCTTGTAGAACTGAGCTATTGAATCCATAACTCGGTTCTCGACTGCAGTGGCCTTCCGGAAAGGCCTCTGACTACGAAATGCAGAAGACATGGGCCGGTGAGGAAAGGCCTGGCTGCAAGGTAAGTGGGTGCGAGGCACGTGGGGCAACACCCCCCTCCACCCCCGCCCTAGCTTAATTTTTAGGTGTGTGTCTCGCCCCCAAACTAGGGCTTATTTTGGGGGCAAAGGCTTATATTAGGCCCGCCCCAAAAAATCAAGCTAGGGCTTATTTTTGGGGTAGGCCTTACTTTTGGGGAAACACGGTAGATGCAATGGTGCCAAGAGACAGCAAAATCAGAAATAAAGAGTATAAGAAGCTGAAAATATACCAGGGCCTGATGGAGGAACTAGAGGTGACATGGAAAGCAAAGGCCAAAGTTGTCCCAGTGATGGTAGGAGCACTCGGGTCTGTGACTCCAGCAGATCCCAGGAAGGACGCAGTGTGAGGTTCTGCACAGGTTCTCCTAAGGTTCTGCACAAAATCTCCAATCTTCCACATCTCTGGCAGAGGATCCAAGATTGAGGAAGACATACCACTCAGGGATGAGAAGGGAGAAGTTTTTAATATACAATTTTTATTAAAAACATTTTTGAAAGAATTAAAAACTATACTTTTGAAAGAATAAGGAAAAATAGTAAGTAGAAAAAAGTGCAAAGACAGAAAGAAGAGAAAGTAAACAAAATTTTTAAATAAGCAGCTTCTAATTTTCTTAACAGCTGTTAAAAGTACATTTATATTTCACCCCTTTTCTCTAAGAGGTTATACCACAATTTCCTTCTTTCCATTGTCTACCCTATCTAATTTGCAAACCCATAAATCATAAGTTCATTTCTTGCTTTTTTTCAGCAAAAAGCCCATAGGGGTTTCCAGTCACTGATAAATGTAGTTATTGTCCTTCCTCAATTTGCCATCTCTGCTAATTGTGTCATCTTCGCCAACCATTGTGGATATTTCAGAGTCTTTTTGCTTTCGCAGTTATTCAGTGTCCATCGGCAATAACGTCTCGTATCTGGGTATCTATATATGTGTAAATGTGCTTTTAACATTGTTTTAACAATGAGAATACCATTTACACTTGCTGGGAGATTAGAGATAAAAGCATTAAATGACTGTAAAAAAAATCCATCCTGTTGGTAGTATTGTTTCTAAAAAGTTGAATTCAAATGTATATTTTATCAAACATGAAGGTATGATGCTAATATACCCCCAAATACAACTCACATTGAAAATATAAATGACTTGCTTTTTCACTTGATCGTGTATTTTGTTCACAAAGTGGAAATAGTTGTGCTTATCTTTAATTTCCTATGTGAGAATGAATGCTGAAATATGTTCATACTTCGATCTGTTGATGCCACATAAAGCAACTGTCTGGATTGAGAAGGAAATAAGACAGTTATTAAACATTTGTAGACTTCTAAGAGGTAAAATATGAACATTCATATTTCTTCAATATGTAGAAAACACTCATGTTTTCTTTTAGACCCCAATCTGTTAGATTACTATTCATTTGAAATAGTAACGTTGGAATTATTTTTCCACTGCACTGAAGGAAATCCATCCAATTTCAGACATATATTATAGTCAGAATGCAAAACAACCCTGTTGTTTGTGAATTTAGGGTTCTAGCAGGATCGTGAAGAGGCTTTTTGAGCTAGCAACCACTTCAGACAGAAAATGCTTGTATTCTGCCTGAAAGGCTGTTGATTTTTGTCTGTTATTTTTGTCCACAGAAAAGGCTACTAATGAGTGCAACACGGTTGAAGATTGGGCAGTTATTATGGATATTTGTGACAAGGTTGGAAGCACTCCTAATGGGTAAGACTCACCAACATATCTTGAATGTCATTTTGTAAATAATCTGATTAATTTGTGCCTTCTGCCCAGATCTGTCATTTTAGGCTTATATGCATATGTATGTATATGCTTACTCATACACATACATATGCATGTAGCTATACATACACACCAACACACATACTCCCAGACACAGAGTGATTATGCTATATTACTACTTGTGACGAGTAGTAGATCCAAGTTCATCCTCTTTATACCAAAAGGTGTACCTTAAAACTGGGTCGATCACTTTAGGACAGTGGTTCTCAACCTGTGGGTCGGGACCCCATTTGGGGTCGATCGACCATTTCATGGGGGTCGCCAAGCAAGGCTGTCCGCCATTTTTTTGTCCGCCATATTTTTCCCCCTTTTCCAGCGGGTGCCTTACCTCCCTTGGGCTGGGCCAGCTGGTGGTCGGCCTGCTCCGTCTCTGCCACTTGCCAGCTATGCCTCAGCCGGCGCAAGGGGCGGAACCACGCATGCACGGTGCTCCCGGGCAGGGAAAGTCCTCGATTTACGACCGGTTGGGTAGTCCTCGACTTACGATCGGTTTAGTCCTCGACTTATGACCGGTTTAGTCCTTGACTTACGACCGGTTGGGGTCACGGCATTAAAAAGGTTGAGAACCACTGCTTTAGGAGTTGTCCAGAACCAGAAAATAGCTTTCGTATATGTTACGAAGAAGGACAACCAGTCTGTTCTAAGGAGAACGTAAATAAAAACAGCAAACTTTTCTGCTAATCATTAGTTCTGTTCTGGAGCTCTCAGAAACTGGTTCTTATTAATTTCCATTGTTAAGTAGGTTTTTTTTTTTTAAAGTCTCAAATGCTTGAGTTTAGACTGGACTAAAAAAGTAAAATATGGACGGTTGAAAGACGTCAGTGTCTGCTTTTATTTGAATAATAAAAAAAAGTACTTCAAGTAGCAGTTAGCACGCCAGGCCTGTTTTGCTTGTAATTGTGTTTGTGTATTGTTCTGTAGGTTACTGTGGTCCAAACTAGAGACATTAAATACTTCCACGTGATTAGGCCCTTTCACATTATCTTTTGTATCAACATGTACAAAGGTGGCAGGTTTGCCTCGTGCTGATTGCTGCTGTAACGTCTATATTCATATGGACCCAATTAAAAAAAAAAAGGAACTCAGCCATTCGTGAATCCCCAGGCACATAGAACTCTCAGTTAGTATACTCTGTACACGTGCATTCAATCAATGCTGAGACGGCAGGTATGATTCTGCTGCCATTCCCTGCATTGCTGTTAGCCTTTCAAGATAGGCTAGTTGAGGAAAGAGGTGGCACACCTTTATTGCCCTTCTTGACACCTGGCAGTGTTACACCTCCCTCCCGTTTCTAGAGCAGGGGTCGCCAACCCCCCCCAGGCCACGACCTGTTCGAAACTGGGCTGCAGGAGAGACAGGCAAGCACACATGCAAAGCTTCATTAACTTGAGCAAGAAGTGCTTGCGCTCACACACAAAGCTCCACTCGCACTAGCGGAGGTGTTTCCGCTTGCACAAATGGAGCTGTGCACACACGTGTGCCTGCTGCTCCCCCCTCTCCCCCATATGCTGGGCCAGACCACCAAGCTGAAAAGACTGGGGACCCATTGTTCTAGAGCCGTGGTGGCGAACCTATGGCACGCGTGCCACAGGTGGCATGCAGAGCCCTCTCTGTGGGCACGAGCGCCGTTGCCCCAGTCCTAGGCCTTCAGCTGGGTTTTATAAAACCTTTTCACTTTAGGCCTCTGCCACCATGTGTGCAAAAAAAAAAAAAAAAGGTTCAGTCAATCAATTTCAACTTCTCGCAGGAAAAAAAAAGAACTTGCAAAGTTGGAATTGATTGATTGAACTTTTTAGTCCCACCCAGTCTGCCATTATCACTGCAGCCACGCCCACCCAATGGGCCACGCCCACCCAGCACCCGACGATACATAAATGGGTTTTGGGTTGCAGTTTGGGCACTCGGTCTCTAAAAGGTTCGCCATCACTGTTCTAGAGCAGTGGTGGCGAACCTATGGCACGGGTGCCAAAGGCGGCACTCAGAGCCCTCTCTGTGGGCACTCGCGCCGTCGCCCCAGTCCTAGGCCTTCAGCTGGGTTTTATAAAACCTTTTTGCTTTAGGCCTCCGCCGCCATGTGCAAAAATAAAAGCTTTAATCAATCAGTCAATTTCAACTTCTGGCGGGAAAAAAAAAGTTTTTGCAAAGTTGGAATTGATTGAACTTTTTAGTCCCACCCAGTCTGCCATTACCACCACAGCCACGCCCACCCAATGGGCTACACCCACCCAATGGGCCACACCCAGCCAAGAGGCCATACCCAGCCAATGGGCCACACCCACCCGGCACCTGATGATGCATAAGTGGGTTTTGGGTTGCAATTTGGGCACTCGATCTCTAAAAGGTTTGCCATCACTGTTCTAGAGAGTCAGGATGGGGCAACTTTAATTTTCTTTTTCACACTATTTTGTTTCCCCAGATTGAGCTCATGTTTTACTAACTGCTACACTCCTTCTCCACAACCATTTTCATGGTTCTCCACAGTAAATATTGGAGTCGCACAAATTGTCATGTTATAGTAGCTGTTGTGTTTTGTAAACTATTGTTTATGCCTTGGTTTATACGTGAATTCAGTTACAACTGATGTGGGAACCCTGACCAAATCAGAAAACTGAAAAATAGCATTAGATTATTATAACAAACCATGATTCTGACTGAAGCTTGAAATAGTTCAGTGACTAAAATCAACCTATTTTATCCTGGACATTTTCTCTTAGAAATAGATCTATTGAATGACTATGGCTTGCTTTGCAGCACAAGATTTGGTTTTGAGGTTGAAGTGGATCTTGCTTTTGTGTCACTAATAATAACATGATGCCCCAAAGCTCTTTCTTCAATGTCTTCTTCTTTCTGGGACTTTTTGTTCCTTTTTAAGTGATTAAAATAAGAGAATAATACAGATATTATTTTATCTAGAGCAAAAGACTGCCTCAAAGCCATTTTAAAGAGAATAAATCATAAAGTACCCCATGTTGCACTGCAGGCACTAACTGTAAGTATGCACATAATTTATTTAGGGGTGAAAATTCTCAGGTTCTTCATAAAACAATCTTTGTGAACTTTTAAAAAATATTAAACTATTGATATTGATGACTAAAATAGTATTTATCTTATTTATTTATTTCTCAGTATTACTGGCCTATTTTATTCCTATCTGGCTCTAGGTGGGGAGGGAAGGGCAGGGATTTTATAAGGATCAATATCTTCATAATTGTTTATATGGGGAGCTTTTTGCAATTTATTGTGAATGGTCTTATTTATTCAATTCTGTCTTCATTTTGTTAGCTTTTGGGAGCCTGTGTATCAAACTGTGGAAAGATTTTCCATTTAGAAATCTGCTCACGTGATTTTGCCAGTGAAGTGCGTGTCATAATAAACAAGGTGAGGTTTTTAGATGTCTCATATTTAAGAGAAAATGAATAGAAAAGTATATGGATTGTGTCACCACACTTACGTTTTTCATTTCTGGTATTGACGTAGAATATAGAAATAAAATGAAAAAACAATACAATGTGTGATATAATTAGAGAAGGTAAAACTGTACAAAATTATGGTGTTACACTTGGGAGATTTGCTTTAATCACGAATATTACAAAGAACATTTAATTTTTGCAATATCTGAACTGACAGCTTCCGCAGACGTGCAACAGATTGCAAAGAAAGGTTAAATATTCTCCTATGCTGTGCTAGAGTTAAAACAGCAGGAACATTTCATAATCATTTGAACAGTGAATTATGAAACCGGTAGATACTTCAACAGTGTTTAGGATTGTACCATCAACGGGGGAAGTCAGATTGGCTTAACAGCCACATAATTCATTTAAATGTAGTGATTTGCTTAACACCATGGGAACAAAGGGTCATAAAATCAGGCGTGAGTCACTTAATTGCCTTGCTTAGCAGTTAATGGAAATTTTGTTGTAAGTCAAGGACTACCTGTAGATGAAAAACAGAACCCAGAGTCACTTAGTGAGGTAAGGGGAGATTGTGGACTGGATAAGAGATAATTTTTGACAACATTTAGACTACAGAAGGTCAGCCAAAAAGATAGAGATAAGCAGGACAATGTAGTAGGGTCTCAATTTGGACCCACTGAGGGTTGTTGGCAGCTTCGGGAATGTTACACAGGTGTTGGAACTAAACAATTGGTTAGATCCAGAACCGCTCGCAACACTCCTTGTCCCCAAATATATCATGAGGTACCTCGTGGTACAACTTGGAAAATTGTGGAGTTGCTGTCACCCGAAGGGGCTTCCCAGAAACCATCAGCTCTCAATTCCTTCCTTCCCAGTCTCTCTAGAGCAGTGTTTCTCAACCTTGACAATTTTAAGGCATGTGGACTTCAACTCCCAGAATTCCACAGCCAGCAATGCTGGCTGTGGAATTCTGGGAGTTGAAGTCCACATGCCTTAAAATTGTCAAGGTTGAGAAACACTGCTCTAGAGACTTCTAGAGACTTACTGCTGTGGCCATGTGGGGGATGTAGCTTATGTTAACAGCTGAATTGTATCTATCTGTAAAGTAGACTCTGCTAGAGAAATGCCAAGTCATTGTTTGGATCCAGATTGCTGAAAAGAGGAAGGAGACTTTAAAAAAAAAACAACTATTTGTGCTGAAGCTTTAGGTTACCCAGTTCATGCATCTGACCTGAAAGCCGGGAGGAACTGTCTCTCCCTGGAACCAACCTGAGATAGACTGGCTATTTCTGGAGTCTAGGAACTGGCTGCCAAGTTGGTTGGGCAGTTCCTTTATTTATTTCCGTGTTCATTTTTAGGGCCTGCCTTTTGTTCAGGAGCTCCAGGCAGCATACGTAGGAGCTTCTTCCAATTCCCCCCCCCCCCAGCATTAACTTTATGGGGCAAGCTGAGTGAAAAGAGAGCATTAGGGCCAAATCCATTTTTCTGTGGCTGAGGAAGGATTTGAACACGGGCCTCTCTAATGCCAGCTCAACTCTTTTAATCACTACATCACGTCAGCTCTCATCAGTTTTTAAATTGGGAAGCTTTGTCTATTAATTTGTGTATTGTGTATTAAAGTAGATGCCATATTACACAGTGGTCAGCCATCTCTAATATCAGTTTTTAATTTTTTCTTGTTAGATTGTAGGTTTTCTTTGGATAATCATCACTTCAGAAAAGCTGTAGCATAGTAATTTGCTGTAAAGAGAGGGATTAAAAGCCTGGAATAGAAATAACTAGTTTCATGGCAGTTTGTTTTATCAACTAGCTAAAGCTAATTTTTGCTTCTGCCTTATTGTGCTTTCTTTCCCTTCTTTTTTAGGCACATCCTAAGGTATGTGACAAATTAAAAGCTTTAATGGTAGAATGGTCAGAAGAATTTCAGAAAGACCCACAATTCAGCTTAATATCAGCCACCATTAAATCTCTTAAGGAAGAAGGAGTTGTATTTCCTACAACTGGGTCACAGGTAAGAGGCTAGATTTCATTTATGTCTACAAATGTTTGAGGTTTTGGTGCTAACATGAGAATGACTGAATTTAAATTCTGAATGTGAGCTTTATCCACATTCAGCTATCCACTTGTTAATGGCATCCACCAATAAAATAGATTTTTTTTCCCCCACAAGCACTCCCCACACTGGCGCTACAGAGCCGGGAGATGCTCTGGGGTGCACAGGGCAAATGGGCTTTGGGATGAGTAGAGGCTCACAATATTATACCTATTATATAACATACATAATATGTATATAAGATTATTTGCTTCATAATCACCTAGTTTTAACATTGCCTGGACTTTGCAGAGTTGGATTATACTGTATGTTAAAGTGAGAATGATTACTATAGAATATTAATCCTGCTTTTGAAAATGTACAGAAACAATTTTCAGATTGTATTAAATGAAGCACTAAAATAGCATCATCTTATGTTTATGTTGCTTAGACAAGGAACTGTTTTGTACCAAATCCAAATGTATAAGAGCAAATATGCCACAGCTTTAAAAACAAGGACATATGGTTTATTCATATTGGGTTGTTTGAATGGACCTGGCAAGTATCGATAGCCATTTGTTGTGGGAAAATAACTTAATCTAATAGGCAGAAGTGTTTCTCCAGAAGTAGCTCAGCCTATTACTCCATTTGTTTTTGTTTCCTGACAGGCTCAGCCTTCCATCCTTCTGAGGTCGGTAAAATGAGGACCCAGATTGTTGGGGGCAGTAGTCTGACTCTGTAAACTGCTTAGAGAGGGCTGTAAAGCACTGTGAAGCGCTATATAAGTCTAAGTGCTAGTGCTATTGTTATTCACAGTCAATGTGTGACTTTGGTTCATTCCCCCAAAATGATACTGTTCCAAGTACCTGTTGGGTATGATTCTTAAGTTTTCTGGCTTTAAATAGTTAAAAAATACTTACCACAAGGTAAACTAAAATAACACCAGTATTGTTTTCAAAGTGCAGGCAAATATAGAACTTTCCCACTTGAAGTATCATTTATATTGCAAGTATATTTACAGAGTCCCTCAGCTGCTGCCAAGAATGGTGCATCATCAAGCAAAAACAAAGAAGAAGAAGATATAGCTAAAGGTAAAATTTTACTCATCCATATTTTTGAGTGATACAATATTTTACATGTTTCTAAGTTTGTACTTGGGAACATGCTTGATGGTTAAAATGTGACATTTTCCATTGAACACATATTCAGATGGAACCCTTGCTATAGCCAGTAGTAGCAAAGGAAAGTTTGAACAATTGCATTTTAAAAAAAGTTTGTGAAGGAAGCAAGAAAGCTATAAGGAAACAGATGTATATTTTAGAAAATGCATTTTAAAAAATTGCTTTTGCTCTCCTTGGAATTCTAAGGATGTTTGCCACTTCCAAAACAATTTTCCAAAAGTATTTTTATATTACATTTTGAATTACAAAATGCCAGTTTCTGACTCTGCTAGGTTTAGATGTTTTACATATTTTTGGTTTTGAGTTATTAGATGCTCATAACCATAGTTAACACACAAAATAATAAGTATTATTCTTTGAGTTGGATTTAATTTCACTTCCATAATATAAATTGTATATGGATTTCCTGAAAGCAATTTTTTAAGAATTCTTGTGTATTGAGTTTCTTGTTGCTGTCTGGTTTTGAATCTTTCAATTCATAAGCTAGAAACTCGTGTCAGAGAAAATGTCAGTCATATTGACCTTGTTAATTAATGCTCTAAGACCTAGTGTGACTTAAACATGCCTTTAATAGCTGTGTATGACTTTCTGGTCACTGAGAATTCACACCAACATGATGACACTTAAATCAGTCAGACTGTCATGGTAATTCTGTGCAAATCCTGCCTTCTGAAGAATCTCTATATATATTTGTATGGCACCATATAATAAACAGGTTCAGTCAATCTCTAAGCAGTTTGCAGGCTATGGTTAATCTACGCCTTATTTAATATTTAGCATATGAACATCTACTGTATATTGATTTTACTACAGTACTTTAAGGTGGTGAATTTGTACATAATTATAGCTGCCTGCATGGAAGGCTGCAACTTGTTTTTGTCTTCTTCCCCTAGTTATATTGTAACAATAACTAACTTCCTTTCTCGACAACTTTAATTTTCAATCTATAGTAGGGGTGATAACTGTGAAGCATTTAGAGCAGTCAGCATCTTGTTTCCCACAATCAGCAGAGCTTGGATGTATTGAGTGGCTAGATTCAGTCATCATGCTAAGTTTAACCGTGGTTTATTGAGTAAATCATGGCTGAAGTCACACAGCTTGCTAAGCTAAAACTAAGCAACCTGCATGACAGCCTTCTTAGGTTTTTTGGAGCATGCTTACAAGTAAGAGTTTTTGGAAGGTCCAATTATCTTCTAATCTCAGCATTGGGATGGGCCTCCATTCACAAATCATCTCATCCAGAATTTGCTATATGCACAGAGTTATAAATGATCATCTTGGCATATTTTTGATGCCCAAAGCTAAAATCAAATGAAAAGACACTTACTTTGAACATTTGAGAGAGCTTTGTGCTGCACAATGACATGCAAGTAACTCACCTAATTTTAACTGGCATAAAACGTGCTTTTGTTCTTCAAATTGTAGCTATTGAATTATCTTTGCAAGAACAGAAGCAGCAGCAACAAACTGAGACAAAATCTTTGTACCCATCTGTAGACATTCAGCATAGCAATCAAAAACACTCAAGAAAAGTGCGCGCCTTGTATGACTTTGAGGCAGTCGAGGATAATGAGCTTACCTTTAAGAGTGGTGATATTATTGTTGTTTTGGATGACAGGTATGTTTGTATTTTATTGTTTGTATTCAGATAGGGAATCATTGAACTTAATGTGTACCTTAATATGCTACTTGTACTTGAACGACCACTTCAGTAACTTTCCAGACTCTTCTTTAAACAAGGTTGATTCAGTTCAACAAACTACAATTTATTTACTATTCAGAAAATTTCCGTAGCCATCTTTTTCAGTAAAAATGCACTCTTCTTGCTTGAGTATAAATTCAGTGCAGATTCTTCAGCACTCAGAGAGATGTGGTTTCATTATTAGTTAGGACGTACCATATAATTTTTTTTTAAAATAAATTTTTATTGATTTTTCAATTAAAAACAAAAACATAGATCTTTTATCACAATATCAACCAAAGAAAATAACACTAATCAATACATTCACGGACGTGTCCGGTGTCCCCCCCTGCACCGCCCTCTTCCACTTACCACACCTTCCTCCTCCCAACCTACCACCACTCCTCCTTCCTCCCTCTTTCCTACCTCCCTTCCTCACTCAGCCATCCCGTCTTGTGCAGTTGGGGCACCACCGGACACCTCCTTAAAAAATCATACATATAAATCTATAATACAAACCTACCCCTTTCCCCCCTCCCCCCCCAGGACTTCCCAAAGCTAATCTAGGAAATAAACGCATAATAATCCCATATAAAATTATTTTGTTAGGCCTTTTTTTTTTCCAGAATAACTTTTACCGAAAAATAGAATAATGATCTTAGAGCCATTCTGATGACAGCCAAGATGATACATATTTGTAAAGTTATTGGAGACTGAACAAATTCCAATTTAATTATTGTTTATGGCTGCTTGGAGGATATTTTTGTCAGGAGGTTTTAAAAGAACAGTCTTCAGCAGCTTTTGCAATTATATTACTCCCTCATGTCACATTCTCTACTCATTGAACTTTTTGCCTTTGAACTTTTAGAGAGAGGTTACTATCCTGTTTTTTTTTTACTTATTTTAACTATTAGCAAATAGAATAGAAAGCATGCTAATCAGTATGTGCTTGAGCATTATTTTTATGAAACATTTTTAAAAGTCTGAAAATCCAGCTTAAATTTTAGTCTTTAAAAATGATTATTTTTTTATCCGCCTTGTCTGTAAGAAGTTATCAATTTTTTTAAAAGGGTATAGGAATCACTCTTGTTCAGGTATAGCTGGTACTATTTGTGCATTTAAATTTACACCTACACCTTGTAGTAAAGATAAAAGGCCAAGTGTTAAAACAGTCTAATTGCTATAACTCTACCCCACTTCCAAATCTATTTAAAAAAGTATTGCCCTTAATTTGTTTTGGATAAATTGAGTCCTTCTGAGCTAGATGAAGGTTCAGAGAGAAAAACATAGGTATTGTTAAGAGCTGTTTCTCATTAGTTTGTATTTCCTAATAGACAGGATCTCATCAACATTTTTATAGCCATAGCTTTCCCCACCCTTGTGTCCTCTAGATGAATTGGGATTATAGCTCTCAGAATCCTTGGAGTTACAGTCCCAGCATATATTGAATACATTAGATTGGGAAGATGACATGCATCATTTTTTTTAATCTTGTAAAAATAAAACGACATCCATTTTGGTGAAGTAATGAAGGCACCAGGCTAGAAACCAGAAGATTGTGAGTTCTAGTTCCACCTTAAGCACAAAGGCAGCTGGGTGACTTTGGACAACAGTTTAGGATTGTGTGCCTGACTTTTCCTGAAATGAACTAAGTACAGAGGAAGGCAACATAATGCAAGTTTAAACAGTATTAATCAATATGTTAAGATGATTGTATGCTGACGGTGGAACAAGAACAAGAACACAATAAAATATACATTTTTTATTGTACAGTGATGCCAATTGGTGGAAAGGAGAAAATCACAGAGGAATTGGATTGTTCCCTTCTAACTTTGTGACCCCTAACTTAAATGATGAGCCTGAGACAGGTAAACTGAGTAGAAATTTGATTTTCAAAACATTTAATGAATCATATATGTAATATCATACCATTCTTGTTCAAGAAACTACCAAGAAACTGGATGATTTGCTAAATATGCTGGAAAGGTGTTAGTCTTCTGCTTTATAATGCCCACTTCTTTTCTAACAACTCACTGTTACTTAATATTCAATAATCAGAAGATCTTGCACTTGCTGAGAAGTAATTTGTCTCATGTCTGTTAAAGGCGTATTGTTCTGGAGCTGCATATGGAGATGATACGAATTGTATTCATGGAGAAAGTTTATTCTTAAATGTCATGTTCATGATCCAGCTTTTTTACTGTTGCCAGACAAGTATTCTAATATCATGAGTCAGACACTGTTATAATCATGATTTGAAGAGTAATTTGCTCTGAATTATGCATTTAAGTACAAAGTGCTTTTATATTTTAGAAGATATAGTTTGAAATCACACAAACAGAATTTAAAATGTATTTTCTTCATGTTTATATATTCTTCACCAGGGGTTTCCGGGCCATTTGGGTTAATAAAAAATATCCCATACTACCAAAACATATACTGAATATCCATGGATTGATTAGTTTATTAAGCCAAACATCAGGGTTCACAGAGCAACCAGAAATTAATTTTTAGAACAGTGCTACCTATGTTATTAAACTATGAAATGCTGCCCAGTTTTTACATTATCTTTATCCTGATATTTACTTCGGTCTGTAACTTTACCCTGTGTTGTATAATGCTTGCCATGCAAAAGTGTTTTTTTGCCTCTGCATCCATTAGGGTTTCTTGCCACACACTTTACAAACATATCCAAACCAGATTAAAAACAATATTTAAACAAATCCTGAACATTATCTCTTCCACATTAGTTGCCTTATCTAAAAAGCTCAACTTCCAAAGTTTGCTCTTTGTTTGTAGCCTGTAATCTGTGTTGTTAGATCTGTCTTCGAATCTGAACATGGAGTATATTGGCAAAAACTTATTGTATGCTGAGAAACTAGATTGGGAGGAAGACTAATGTTTTCATGGTCTTTACACAGTGCCTGTAGACAAGGATGCTTCTGAAGACACAACTGAAATTACAAAACCTGAGCCGGAGCCAGTGTACATAGATGAGGTATGTCTTGGCTTTCCAACGGCATAATACATTTTAGGCAGCTTTTTCTTTGAAGAAGCTACCATGTCCCCTTATCCCAAAATAAATACTGTTTGAGGGGGTTTGAGAATTTGAACCTCCAGTTTGAATGCCTTTCTAAATATATTTTCTCTGTCTTCCAGAATAAGATGGATAAGACACTGCAGTTACTTCAGAGCATAGATCCAACAGATCCTAAATCTGATTCTCCTGATCTTCTGGATTTAGAAGGTATCACTACTACTAAATATGATTTTTAAAAAATCCTAATCCAGAGCTATGGTCATTTTCATGTTTTTCATTTGCCAAACCCAAGTCTGAAAGGCAGGTGAAATTCTCCTTTCTTTTTGCATGCTAGGCAAATTATCCATGCATTGCATTCACCTCAGTGCTTTTATTTATGAGCAATTAACTGATCAAATGTTCATATTTTACTGTTCGTAGATGTCTGTCAACAGATGGGTCCCATGATAGATGAAAAGCTAGAAGAAATTGATAGGTAAGGCAATTGTATAATGCTTATAAGTTAAAAAAAAGCAATTTATATTTAAGTAGTACAGTAGATGAGCAGCAAATAAGATGGGTCATCAAACACTTTCAAAAATTCAGATATCCTACATGGTGTAATAATTGTGAAAACTAAGCTCAAAGGACTGAGTGGTACATAACATTATGCAAACTGGCATATGACACATACTTAGGAATTAATTTATTTTCAAGAATCTTTAATTTCTAGGTTGAAGTTTTATTGAGAGTGCTTGACTCTGAGTTTGGTTGTTTCATTCATTTCATTATCATCATGCTAGCACTGATGAAGTTACCTAGTTTGGTTAATGAAATATCAGCAAGAAAACAGCCAAGCTCAGAGAGTACTAAGAATTCCTCATTTCAACCCTGAGCTACAAATATTCTCCTTTATGAAGTTTTACTCTACTCAAATTAAACAAACCAGTAGATTGATGATAACTGAAATTACTTCATTTACTCTTGAATTAGGAAGCATTCAGAATTGTCTGAACTAAATGTGAAAGTGATGGAAGCTTTGGAACTCTACAATAAACTAATGAATGAAGCTCCTATGTATTCTGCCTACTCCAAGATGCACTCCACGGCACAGTATGCACCGACATCAGCCAGTGTTCCAGTGCAGGTCAGTGCCTTATTTTTTAGTTCTACTTTCTTGAAGGATTCCTTTCCCATATAATGGAGAACAGACCACTGCATTAGGAAGACTGGAGTTTCCATAATTTTTTTTTAAAGTTCTACTGCAGAACGTGTCAGCATATGCTTAAACAGATGTAGATCTTACCTCTTCCTTAGGATTAATAAGGGTCAAACAGTGTTACAATTGCAGTCGTTCCATGAACCTGGATCCAAAGGTTTGTTAGTTGGAAGCAGCATTTCGTGATATTTGTCAGTTCTGTCTTCTCTAGAGCCCTTCAAAACGGCTCTGATAAAAAGAAGGTATTGCAAAACCTTGTACGCAGGAGGAATTTTGTGAGTCTCAGTTAGGGTTAAATTAAACCTGTCTGCATTAAAACTTTACAAGTAAGTGAGCAGAGTTGCCTTCTCCAGTATGACTCAGAGGTCATATGTAAGACTTGCTGGGATAGTGGGCAAAATCTTGGGCACTATGCATGACTCCCCCTCCCAACCCCCTGAGAAGAGCTGCTTCATAGATGACACCTCCACATTCATAGATCAGTGCCTATATTTTGAGTTGCTTTATGGACTTTCAGTGAGATGGTGATTGAGAGTGGTTGCTGCGTTGACTTAGCATATCTCACAATTTGACATGCATGGCTACTCTGAACCTGCATCCCCTTTTGGTTTATTTAGTTTGTGTTTTTCGTAAAGGATGAGGTTTGAGGGAAGAAAGTTAGAAGCGCAATTAAACGGCAACGATGTGGTTGCGTATTTGAGGTGGATTTTACATAATACAGTATGAAAAGAATAGTTACTATGGTAACTGCCACATCAAAGATAGTGCATTCATCTGTTATATTTTCCATGAGCTCTTTGAAATGATTGACAGTATTTGGGGTTGTGAGGGGAAATAATGAACATTAGATGAACTAATATTCCTCTTACCTCAAGGTAATATTGCGTTCAGTTGAAGACTACAGAACAGTAAGAGAACATTTAAAGGAACAAATATTTTTATAATATTATTTAACCTCTCCTTACACACCGTTGAATCCCGAAGCAATCATTTTCTGTAAAAATGCTTCCTATATTTCTTCAGTATTTTCTTCTTTCTCTATTTATTTGTTCACTTAAACGGTCTTAAGATTATGTTTAGAATAAAATCTCTTAAAGCAGAATATAACGTTTAAAGCCAAAGCTGTGGCTTTACCTCATAGACATAATAAAATACATTCATTGCTAATAAATCAAGCATTTATTTATTGAACTCTTTCTGTTGTAAATTCTGGACTGATAAAAACATTTTTTGTGAAAACAGCCATATAATCTGCACCATATGAGATTCATTTAGGGTGAAAATATGCTCACATTTTCTTCATAAAACGATAGGCCAAAAGTTCTCTTTTTAGGACCACAGGATTTAGTACATTTTTAAATAAAGTACTAATGTATATAACACATTTATCTCATTCTAATATATTTCGGAAAACATAATATAATTTTCTTGCCATCCATGATATTCTGGTAATCCTATGACACTGGTCTGAGAGACTAAAACTGTCCTATGCTTATTTTATAAACTTTGTAGCTTTAATAATGTCCTGATGTAAGCTTATTACTTCAGTGTAGCAGAAATATAAAGCAAACTGTGTGAAATCTGTTATAATGGACAATGGCATTTCTTCTTGGGCTAAAGTCATAGTTAATCTTATCTGGCATATTGAAGGTTGCATTAGAAATGGGCAGAGTTTGAGCAAGAAGAAACTAGCATCACTTAATTTTCTCAATTGAGCTACCTTCTTCATTACTTAATTTCCAAAGTGGTTGTGAGTATATATATGCTATAAGCCCTTGATAAAGAGAGTGGCTACAGAACCGCAACAAAGCTTCAGTTCTATTAAGTAAGAATACAAAAGCTATAGTGACTTTAAAATAGTGACAGCAGGATGCAGTGATCTGTTTGCATATTGCTTCAGACCACATAACTCAATGGAAATTAAGACAAGGTATGGGGTCCTTTACAGTGTACCAACTGTGCCACAAGCATGCCCCCCCCCGATCCCCTCCAGCATCTGTTCTGAGTAACCACTTTCTTAAACTCCTGCAGATGATTCTTGCAAGCTTTGAAGGTTCATGGATTCATGCAGCGATAAACTATTTCTCTTCTCACTGTAATGAAAATTCTTTCCCCTCTTCCCATCTCTTCCATGTTCAGATCAGTTTCAGAGAGTCCTCATCTGTAGCAGATTTGAAAGATTATTTTGGTGATAAAAAATTGGTTTCCGTCCGCGTGGTATTGGTGTAATATTTGGGTTCTTGTATTAATGACTGCTGGAAGAGTCACTGTTCCTTCCTTTTTGGAAATATGTGCTTCAGAAAGTCAGTTCCGTTCTCTTCTGTTTCTTTTGCAGTCATATCCCATCCATCCTCACGGTGGGAATTATGTGGTCCACGGTATGCCTCAAGGCTACAATCCAGGAAGTGATCAGATTGGTCCACTGAGGTCTTTGCCTCCAAACGTGAATCCTTCAGTAACCTCTCAGCCCGCTCCGACCTACATGAGGTAACCCATTAGCAAGTTTTAGTTAACCAGCTTTATCCCCATCTCTCCGTTATGCTTGCGGGGTTTGCTTAGGCTAATGTCTTTATTGTATTTCAGCCCTGGTCTAGATTCTGTGTCCAGTTCTACTTACATGAACCAGAATTCTTGCCTCCCGCCCGCTGGTCCTGTTTCTTATGCCCAGCCGATGGGCATGCCCGTGGATATGCTAGCCTACCAGAACACTGCATCCAGTTTGCCTCAAGGTCCGTGCTATCCAGCAGTTCCCGCTCATTCACTTCCACAGCAGCAAACAAATTATCATCAGCAACCTCTCCTGTGAAAATGCCGAGTCGGAGCCTGGGAACCGTTTTAGATGTTGCTGACCCGTAATCTTTTAAATTGTCCTTCCATTGATTTAAAAGGATGCTTCTGCTGAAGGGAACAGACAACTAAGCAATTTCAAAGTAAATGTTAATTCAGGCTTAACTGTTTTCTGCATAGCTGTTTAAACTAGGTGATCTGCAGTTGTGTTTAAAAGAAAAAGCAAAAAGCTTTCCAATCCTGACTTCTGTAATATTCTGTGTCTCCTCGCTATTTATAAAAATGCCACTTCAATTTTTTCCCCTTGTTAAGAGAAGCTTGAAAACAAAGCTGATATATGCAACTCCTCCTGTTAGTTCTTTCCAGACTTTGGGAACATGGTAATTGTTTTTTAATGGAAGCCTTACATTTGAAGTGCTTTCTTTGAAACTTGGTTTAATCAGTTAGTTTGGATTTTGGTTTGCACCCTTTTGAGATCATAATCTTAACAAGATCGCCTTTTAAGTTATACAGTAAAGTTGTTATGAACTTGAGAAGAAAACTTACACACACACACACACACACACACACACACACACACACACACACTGAATGTCAGAGAAATTAATGGATTTTATGGTTTCTGCCAGAATGGATTTCTTACTTGCTTTTCTCAAAAATTAGTTTTATTGCTGTGGGGTAATATTCTCTATCTGAAGACAGAGGGTTTGAAGAGTGCATTTTTAACTTCATAAATTCCCTAACACAAATGGACTTGATCAGATCTGGATTAGTCTTTTCTCTCTCTTCTCGTTCCCTGGCATTACTGAATATTTACCTATATGAAGGAGAAGCGGATAATTATGCTGTCCTTTAGTCATACAAGGATTTATGTGCAGATTTTTTTTAACCTTACCTGGTAAAATATCCATTCGGTAAAGGAGTGCAGAAAGGGATCTGGCAATGTATTTTTCTATTGTTGAGAGCTCAAAAAGAGTTCCTGTCCAGATTTTTAAAAAGAAAAAAAATTCTGTTCTGGATACTTGTTCATTTCTTGATGCTTGTGGATTTTATCAATAACAGGATTATTCTGAGGGAGGGAAGGTAGATTTGGCATACACTATAGTTGGAAATGAGAGTGGACACATTATTAAAATGGAAATGTATAAGTCAGTGCAAGGGAAACATTGGCATTTTATGCTATGCTCTCAAGAGTTGTTCTGCAGTATCTGATGCCCGTTGTATCTATCATCGAATGAGCCCCACTTTTCACTTCCAATATTGGTGCTAAGTAAGCTATTTAGATTTCTGGTAATAGTGACCTGGACCACTATGTCTTTGAGAAGGCGGTTTCAGAAAAAACAGCTGTTGTTAATCTGTTTCGATCAACAAGAACACTTGTGTTTTCCTTTTTGGTGTTGGTTTCGTTTTAATCTTCTCAAAAATGTTTAATTTTAAAAGGCTGCTTTTTAAAATCCTTATTTAGAACCAAGTCAGGGTTTTCTCATTCAACTCCCAACGTTTTATAAACAAAATGAGGATTTTGAATAGTGCATTGCTCTTCCACGTTCATACATTAGATGGTCCATTTATATTGATCCACCATCTTTGATACTACTTTAAGCGGTACCCAATATCTGACTGTGATGTTGAGTTGAAACAGTCTTTTTTCACTGCATTTTCTCCTTTATATATATAATGTATAAATAATAAATGTGTGTATATATCCACTGGTCTGAGATTTTATACACAACTATATAGATATACTAATTCTCTTAAATCACTGGTTTTATAGGTAGCTGCGTTTGGCTCTATTGTTAATTGGTGTAATCTTAAAATGCATTTATGCAGGCTGTAAATATGTATAAATTCTGATGTTCAGTTGGTGTATTTAGTGTTTTGGTGTCAGTAGGGATCATGTTTCTTCCCTTTTCTAAACTAAAATATTTATTGTTAAGGCATGATTATAATGATGCTACCAAAGGAATTAAGTACAGATTTCCATAGTTAGGGCCCAGACTTTCATTTGCATCAGTGAATATTGTAGTCATTGATTTGAATGGAATTTCAACTATACTGCAGACGTATACCTATTTTTATATTAAGAGTAAACAATACTTGCTTTGCTTGACATACATTAACTGAATAAATAGAAATTCTTTACAGCTCATAATGAGTGTTGTTTTGTAATTTGTTTTGTGGGCGTTCAATTAAGGTTCAATTTATGTTTAGAAATAATTTGCTATTTTAAATTTGTATTTGAAAAGTTGCCCAAGATAATTGTCCAAGCTACATCACCATATGTTTCAGTTTTTTCCCCTACAGAGATTCATTCTTAAATAGACTTGTGATTCCAAAGGCTATGGAGTCCAAACATTTTAATATTTGCATTTGCTTCCTGCCATGCCCCACCCCCTATTAAAGTTGCGAGACTTTTAAATATCCCTTATTACCTTTTGTGCTGACTTGGTTTTCCAGAAAATAAAAGAGCCTAGAAATGTAATACTGGCAGTTAGGGGATAGCGGAGTCTTGCTGTTGTCATTTTTTCACCTGAAAATGCTTTCCTTTTCTATGTATCAGTGCTGCCCCTTAACCAATGAAATGGGAACCAGTGGTGGAATTACACACACACACCCTGCCAATTTCATACAAGCCTTTCATATCTATTGCTGATTAGATTGGGGAAACATGCAGGATGGGTACAAAGAGGAAAGCAAAAGGATACATAGAATTACATAGAATCATAGGGCTGGAAGGGACCTTGGAGATTTCCTAGTCAAGGGGTAGGCAACCTTGGCTCTTTTATGACTCGTGGACTTCAACGCCCAGAATTCCTGAGCCAGCTGTGCTGAGGGGAAATGGAGAGGTTTCCAAGCTGAGCTATGCTGGCTCAGGAAGTCTGGGAGTTGAAGTCCACGAGTCATAAAAGAGCCAAGGTTGCCTACCCCTGTCCTAGTCCAATCCACTGCCAAGCCGGGAGATCTTATATCATCCAGGACAAGTGGATAACTAATTATTTTTTGAAGCAATGGAGCACTTCCAACTCCGGGAGGCAAACTGTTCCATTGATAAATTGATGTCTTGCTGTCCAGAAGTTTCTCCTTAGTTCCAGGTTGGGTCTCTTTTTAGCGAGTGTCCACCCACTGCTTCTTGTCCTGCCCTCTGTTGCTTTGGAGAATAAATTGGCCCCCTCTGTGACTGCCCCTCAAGTACCAGAAAGCAGCTATCATGCCGCCCCTAGTCCTTCTCTTCCTTGGACTAGACATCCTTAGTTCCCTTAACCATTCCTCATATGATTTAGCCTCCGAGCCTCTTAACCTTTGTTGCTCTTCTTTGCACTTTTTCCAGGGTCTTGGCATCTTTTTTTGCATTGTGGCGACCAAAACTGGATGTAGCATTCCAAGCTGGCCTCTCTAGCACCACGTTTAGTAGGGTTTTGTTTTTGTTTTTTTGCAAAAGGTACTAATCAGGAAGTGGTTTATTGGTTTGCTTTTGTAATAAACATACGTAGAAAGCTTAACTCCTCATGACACTGAATTAAATTTACTTTGAAATTGCATTTCAAGTGGTGGATGAAAAAGGGATTCTAGTACAGAGAGATGGGATCAGTGAAATGCATTCTGAAGATTTAATCTGTAGAAAAACGCTATTATTCTGGTTCCTTGTTCCAGAGCAAATCTAACCATTTCCTTCCTGCAACAAATTACATTTTGAATATTTCTGTACAATATTTTTCAAGCAACCTCTGGTATTAGCTATGTGCAGTCCATTACTTTGGAATATCTTATCTCTAAATAATTTGCACAGAGACTGACAAATTCCTTTAATTATTTTAACAAATTCTGTAGCAGTTATTTCTGCTTCATTGATCCCCAGTACTTTAAATTTGCTCATTGCTTGGAATGGAACCTGGCTCTTCAGGTCAGCCCCAGTTTTGGTGAGTCCAAGGAAACCACCTTCTGATGTTATTGCATTACATTGAGTAGTGGGGAGGGCCAGAGTGTTTTTTGTGGAAATCAAAATGGTGACTGCATAATTCCAAGTCTCAGGCCAACTGCATCCACAGCTGGCATCAGAAATGGGCCCTTAGCACTCCAAGGGTGGCTGATGTTGATGCCAGCTGACACTTTCATTCAGTTTAGCTTCACCACATACTTGGGTGTCTTTTTGCAATTGCAGGGGTTGTGAAGAAAATTATGTGCTGAAAGCAAATATTGCCACAAGCCTATACAGCTTGACACAGCATGATTTGAAACAAAGAGCAGTTATGTTTGCAGAAACAGTCATTACCTTTTCCGGCTAATTGCTTCTCCTGGAAAATTGTTTCTTTTGAGTAGCCCTCAAATTCTGGAAAATACAGGATCTTGTGGTATGTGATGCTAGAGGGGATTGATGATTGATAGTGGAATGGCTCAAGAGATGTGCAAAATATTTTTAAAATGGAACAGTTGTGAATTTGAAAAGAGCTGTTTTGACCTCATTGGAAGTGTTCCAATGCTTCTCCAAGCTTAAAATATCTTACTTCGCACTTAAAACACTCAATGGAGTTAAAAAAATTCTACTGAGGCCAGAACAGCTCATTTTGGAGTCGGGAATGTTTGCATTTCAAATATTTTGCAACCTCTAGATAACTCCATCCTCACAAGCAACTTTTCTTCAGTTCTTTCAAGCAATCACCTAGATATCATTCTCAGATTCCAGATTTACAGCATACATNGTAATTTGCCCTCCTTATAAGGCTTGGAAGCAAACTGTTCCTGTGAGTCATTCTTCCTCTGTAATTCACAAGATCCTATACTGTCAATTACTTATTTGCATTGACGGCATCACTTAAATCTTTGGGTGTTTTGGCATCTTTAACAAAAGAAAAGAGCCCCTAGTCCTATTGGGATTGCTGAATCTTCCAAATTATCTTGCACCATTTTGGAATGCTCAGATTCTGACAATCTGGCATCCTTTTAAGAGAGACGAAATGCAAGTAGATCAGAGGGGAGAATAAAAATTTATGATGTGTAAAGTTGGTTTGAAGTCAATAAAGGTTTTGAACAGTTACTTTTCATTCATTAATGTTTCTGATTTCTAAATGGAATGAAACAAGGTCAGATAATAAAAACTGTTCATCTTTACATAAATAACTTCAATTTCAAAGGACTTCCTATACCTATTTTTTAAAAAAAAAGCTGAGATACTTTTTGATGCTTGCTTTGTTCATTATTTGTTTACCCTTCTGTTTTACACATAACTTTGTTTAATACTCCAGGACTGATGGCAATCAATTGCTTTATTTCCAGAAAAAGGAAAATTCCTCTAACAAATTACAATATTCAAAATTATTAGCAATTCTTTATTCTGTTCATGGCTGCTTTCATAAGCAAAATAGTTCAGATAAGAGATACAGTATTATGTTTAAATGGCACATGTCTCATGACAGAATTTCTTTACTCTTTTGACCTCTTGTCATCACTATTGCTTTATCATTGTATATCTGTTAATTTCATGGGCATCGGACCTATGTCTGGATGAGACGAACTAAGCTTCAGATATTTTGTTCCGAGAAATAAGGCGTATTATGGC